TGCAGCCGCCGCAGCCGGGTATCGATCCCACAACCTGCGGCTCAGCAGCCGAGTACCTTAGTCACTAGACCACCGCGGTGGGGCAGTTACCGGGTGCGCAACGGTCACTGCAATTGTTGCACAGTCTCCATTTGCGAAAAGAGCGCGCTTTTCAGACACAGCGAAGTAACAACTGATACGCTTAGTCGCGTTCATTTGTACCTGTGAGTACGTTTCGTGCGTTTTTGTGCGTGAGAAACGCGGGGCACGTTTCAATCTGCTTGTCATTCTGCGCGTTAACCTTCCAATTTGTTGGTATCGCGTTAAGTGGTACGCCTTTACGGCAAAACAGACTTTTTCGTCTAGTTACTTCGATCTCGTGGTTCGGCTCCACGGTTACTACCTGTCCTAAGTGGACTTACTCTTTTACAACTTTAATTGCAATTCTACATATCTCGAAGCCCTGTATCCGAGGTTGTTGCACATTACGTTCGTTTTCTGCATATTAATTTTAAGACCAGCCTTTCTGCTTTCCTTGTCTGATTCAGTAATCATGGATTGCAATCCTTCCCTGAGTTACTCAGCAATGCGATGTCATCGGCGAAGCGCAAGTACTACGGTACTCTCCATTAACTCTCATGCCTCACTCTTCTCATTATAGGCCTCTTAAAACCTTCTGTAAGCACGCGGTGAATAGCATTGGCGAGATCATATCATCTTGTCTTACACCTTTTTTTATAGGTATTCTGTATTCTGTGGCTTTCTTTATGGAGCATTATAGTGGCAGTCGATCCTCTGTAGATTTCTTCCAGGATGTTTATATATGTCTCATAGACACCCTGATTCCGCAGTATCTGCATGACTGCCGATTTCTCTACTGAATCATATGTCATTTCGTAATCTATAAAGCTTATATATCTACAGTGGTTGGGTGTATTTCTAAGCATTTCTCTATCACCTGATTGATTGTATAAATGTGGCCTATTGTTGAGTAGTCTGTTCGGAATTCGGCTTGTTCGTTTGATTGACTGAATTCTAATGTTCCCTAATTATGTTAGCAATTACCTTTGTAAATAGCTTCTATACGTAGGAGAGGCTTGAGAGAGCTGATCGGCCTGTAATTCTTCAAGTCCTTATGGTACATTCTCTTATGGATTAAGATAACGTTAGAATTCTTCCAAGATTTTGGTACCCCCCCCCCTTTCAGGAGGCCCATGGTAAAGAGGGTGGTAGGTTTTTCTAGCACAATCTGTCCTCCGTCTTTCAGCACATTTGATGTTACCTGATCATCACCAGCACTGATGCCTCTTTGCATACCCTGCAAAGCTTTCCTGACTTCTGTCATTACTAGTGGGATGCCATGTGGAGTACTGCTAGTTGTTACATTGTGGTCGTGGTTGTGTCGGCTACTGTACTGATCTCTGTAAAACTCCTACACTACTTTAACTAGTCTATCCATATTGATAGTTACTTTGCTTTCCTTGTCCCTTAGTGCATACATCTGGTTTTTGCCTATCCCAAGTTTCCTTTTCACCGCTTTGACGCTTCTTCCGTTCCTTGAAGCGTGTTCAATTGTCTTCATGTTATACATTCTTACATCGCATACCTTACGCTTATTAATCAACTTCGAAAGCTCTGCCAGTTCTATTTTGTCTGTTGTGTTAGAGGCTTTCATGAATTCTTTGACGTTTCTTAGTGAGGTTTTTCGTCTCCTGGGACAGCTTACTTGTGTACCAAACCTACAACTTCCACTGCACACCGTAATGATACTCGTCAGATTATCACTCATTGCGTTTATGCTAAGGCTGATTTTCTCTATATGAGCCGAGTACCTGTTCTGAAACGAGACTCTGAATTCCTGTACTTTCCCTCTCAGTGCTAGCTTATTGATTGGCTTCTTCCGTATCAGTTTCTTTACTTCTTCAAGTCTAGGCGAATCGGAGACCGTACCATTCTATGGCCTCAGCATCGTATTTCGCCAAGCACTTCCCCATCTTCCACGATGCCTGGGTGTGAACTCAGTATAAAATCTATTTCGCCCTTACTTTCGTCATGAGGGCTCATCCATGTCCATTTACAGTTCCCTCGCTTTCAGTAGAAGGTATTCAAGACCCGTAAATTATTGCGTTCTGTGAATCCTACTAATAACTCCTCTCTGGCATTTCTAGTACTGATTCCGTAATCTTCTATACTGCCTGCTTCCCAGCCTGTTTCTTTTTTACCTTGTCATGGATGTCACTCATCAGTATAGTATACTGTGTTTTAACCTCACTCATTGCCGGTTCCACGTCTTCATGGAAGCTTTCAACTGACACGTCATTCTGGCTTGATGTAGGCGCGTAGGCCTGTACCCCCTTAATCTTGTATATCTTAAGTTTAATTGCGATAACTACTACCCTTTCATTAACGCTATAGTATTCCTCTATGTTAACAGCTATATTTCTGTGGATAAGGAACCCCATTCCCGTTTTCTTTGCCCAGCGAAGCCACGATAGCACAAGGCATGCCCATTCTGTAGCCCTGTATAGGCCTCATCAGTCCTCATAACCTCACTGATCCGTATTACATCCCATTTGACACCCTTTAGGTCCTCGAATAACACAGCTAGACTTGCCTCACTAGATAAGATTCTAGCATAAAACGTTGCCAAGTTCAGGTTCTAATGGCGCCCTGTCCGGACCTAGAGATTATTAGCACCCTATGCTGCATCGCAGATCTGACGGCCGCCGTGGTCACTTGCTTCGAAGTCACTGGGAACTGAGGGCAGAGGGTTAATTGCCGTATTTATGCGGAAGGCAGTGGCCAGATACTGCACCAGGGTGGCCAATCCTTTTCTGGCGAGGGAGTGCGTTACCAGCGGTGGTCACCGGTAAGGCTGCACCCCAGGCCTCTTAATGCAATTCCATCATCACGCGGATAATTTGTTTTAATCAAGTGGGGAATTTAGCGGCACCGGGATTCGAACCACGGAGCTGTTGCACGTGATGCTGATACTCTAATCACTACGTCATCGCTGCATCTCTTAAGGTGTAACCTTTAGAGACAAGAAGTGAGCAGAGTGGGCTTTCTTGTGCGGGGTGAAGGATATAGTTGAAATCAAGAAGAAATGGACATGGGCTGTGCACGTAGCGCATAGAAAGGATGACCGCTGGTCATTTAGAGTAACTGACTGTATTCCCAGAAAAGGCAAGCGGGTGAGGTGGAAACAGAAAGTTAGGTGGGCGGATGAGATTAGGAAGTTCGCGGGTCTAACGTGGCAGCAGCAAACACAGGACCGAGTTGACTGGTGGAACATGGGGAGGCTTTTGTCCTGCAGTGGTTGTAATCAGGCTCATGATGATGATACCTTCTTTGGCATCATTGTCTGTTGGTTTTCATTCAGGCTGTGCCAAACGAAAAAATTTTCCCTTTGAATAATTCCTAGCAGAGGTCTCGTTTGGGCCGATTTGATGCCTTAATTCAGGCAGTACACGAAGGTTTATTGGTGAGCTATTCGCTTGTTAAAGGATCATGTGCTATAGTCGTGACGTCAACCAGTACAAGAAAGTGTTCCACACAGTCCGTTATTGCGCCGAGCAGTGCAGACACTTTTAGGGACCTTAAGATTTCCCCGTTCTTTGATTCAAGAGCATAATGGTGTGGCTGCTAAGGCGTAGCCGTTGAAGTTGATAAAAATAAGGAGCTTCTGTTGTTTTTTCAGGTTGTTTGGACAGGCCGAACATGAAACATGTCACTCCTCTAAATACTCTACATTTCTGTTCTCGCTGGCTTGCTGTGCAGCGACTGTCGATGTTGAACCTGTTGTTCAATCGTCAATGTCGGTGGCGTTTTATTCTGTTCGTTGATATTAGTGAATCTTACGTCGACGTTTCCCACGAATTCCTACAGGGCTCAATTTTATGGCCTAATACTTTCCTACGCCACACATATTGCATCGACAATTTATTGTCTGTGCTTCGAATTTGAGAAGTATCGACGAAACCAAGATTGTCATGAATAACTGCTTAAGAGAAGGTGCGCAGAAAGGTCTAAAAGAGGTCAAGTGCTATTGAAAGTTGTCCGCCCATTTTATTGCATGCAGTTTGGGCACGGTTCTTGTTGGCAACCATTTTAAGCAAAAATCAGTGACGCCGGTTCAATACTTGAATTAGAAGGCTACTTAATTGGAAAAAAACTATTTGATTTACGTTTTCATTTTATCACAGGCTTACCAATTTAAGCATTCGCTGACCACATATATGTTCAGGGATAATGGCACTAAGATTCGGATCTGATGAGGCCACTGTGATTTAGGGTTTTCTTTCGATTTTTACCACCATGGGTCGGTTAACATCCGTCAGATTCTGGGTGCTAAACTTAGGTTGCTTCCCGTACTCAAAATACAGTGTCCGTGGTCGAAATCGAACCAATGAGATCCAACTCATCAGCGCAAAGCTACAACTGAACTGCCGTGGTGCCAAGCATACGTATGTAAAAGCGAGAGAAAATACTGTATGGCGCAGTAAATGATGACTACAGAGCCAGTATTAACCTTAATCAACTGTTACAGTCAGTGTCAAACATTTAGAGGCCATTGTGTCCGAGAAAACACTTTTTCAGCAATTAGCGACTATTTGTTCACACTGACATGTTCACCCGTTCAGGCCATAACTGTAAATTCAAGGCGGTTCGCCAAAGCAACAGGAATATTAAGCTTTTTTTATGTGTCTCTTGACACCTTACATTTTGAAGCTAATTGTATATTGATCTCAATGGCCGTTTTAGATCTGAAGCCACATCACAAAGTATAAACGAATTACCATTTTTTTCCTCTAAAATAAAGATTGAGGTTTTCTGTCAACACATCCGTGAATACGATGACTAACTGTGAAGTTTCAGTTGCGTCGAAGAAAGAATTTTTCATTGAAGGTGGGAGTAAATACTGTATACTTCCCACATGAAACGTTTCCGCGCGGCACAGATGAATCTGTATGGATGCGCAGAAGGGCGCTCCGCGGAGAAGTGGCCTGTTTGTTACTCACCATTCACCACGCGCGTTTTGGTAGAGTTACAGGAGTTGCTTTCCGAGAAGAGTCCATTCTTCTCCATGGCGCGCACGGTAAGTTTTTTTCTCGAGAGACGCGGCCCCCGCTCAGGTGTATTCGGTCGAACAAGGTGGCGCCGAGTTTATGCCTGCATCAAAAATACAATAATAAGCGAAATTCAGGGAATAATGCTGTACTTTATTTTGTTCACAGCAGTCAAGCATGACGAAATACCGTATAATAAAATAAGTGTACTTTATAGGGCCGAACGAAGTATGAATGAAGTATACCAGAGGCAATTTGTGCTGACGGAAACAAAAGACTGAACAGTGACGACTTGCCATGCAAAGCAATCGACGCACAGGTTTTGAAACGCTAGTGAGCACGTTAGCTAGGGAAGACCAAAAAAGTAAAATGCGGGCGATTTGTAAAGGTTCGAAGGCCTTCGGTAAATGCATGGAAACAACTTCGTCGATCGCCATTGAATAGGGGCGGCCAATTAGTGATCTCCACTCTTCTAATCAACCAGCGTTTCAGGCAGTCAACTGAAAGCAACCTGCCGATTAGCGCCCACGAGTGCACATCATAGCGAGCTTATAACGCTCGGCAGTCTATATTTGCCGGAGACGACGGGCGGCACGACCATGCTTCATGGCGAAAGTCGGTGGGAATGAACCCGAGCAACCCAGACCATGTGTATCGATGCCGGCCGTCTGCACATGTGATAGCGGATGCAGACAGCGGTAAGTTCCACTTGTAGAAGAAAAAGTAAAAATTTTCAAAAACGAATGCTAAGCGGAGGCAGGCTGTCTCTGTGCACGGTAAATAGGAGCGTGTCCTGTTTGTTTTCGTATTTTTTAGTTGTTTTTGTTGTCCTCCTCCCGAACAAGAGCACTACGGATTTTCTGAATGAAAGACGCAGAGCTGGGCTACTTGTTTAGACGTGCGCTGCTTCCGTTGTGAAGGTTGCGAAAAGATAAGAGTTTAAGATTCCTCAAGCATCACTTTTCTTCTGCACTGCTGCGCTTCGTTCTTGCTACGCATTTTCATTGAAAAAAAATGAAGTTGTGTTCGCAACCCTTGCGATATCCGCTGCCATAGAGGTTCGCGGGTTTTCTTTGATGTTTATTTCGAATTAAGCGAATATGTACAAAAGTAGCTTTCAGACGAACGTCATCAGTGTCATGAACTCAAAGCTCGGGACACTTTAATGGAACTTTTCACTTGATTTTTTTATCGCGACAGTCCGATATATTAGCCAACTGCAAGAGTGCTTTCATAACGCTACTCTCCCCTAGTCATGACGCATGACAATGCCGTTTTTCATTTATATAGCGACTCCTGCATGAGTTAACGACATTAGTCCTGTCTTAGCGAGGAACAAATTCATCTAGCTGTATAACAGCTGCCATGGTTCCATATATATGGCGTACATATTCTCGTCTGCGCTTTCGCGTCACGATTTATTTCAGCAGGACGCGAGTAGAGCAGGCAACTATCCCTTTATCAACAGAACAGGTGTTCGAACTTTTCAATCTGATCAGAACCTGAGTAATTGCCGGTGTACCAATTCGTATACCCGATAGCCGTTTGAAGCAGTCATGCATAACTGACTCGTTAGAAAAAACTATACTTCAGCTCATTATTACAGGATTAGCCCTCTATACGAATTTGCGTTAAGGTGGCAGCATGGCAGCTCGCCTTTGGTTAACAAATCGACTCAGACACTATTAAGTTATCTGAATTCATACTCCGATGTTTGCGGCCCACAAACAGTGTCACGTGATCGTTTTGACGGAAAACGAGGACAATTTAACTAGAAATACAGGTCTCGTAACACGACCTAGGTTACCCATAACGGCATGCTTGTACTCCGCCAATGAAGAAAAATAAAAACAGTGCTAGAAGGCTGAACATTTCGGTTCGGTGAAAAACGGTGTGTGTGTGGAGGGAGGAAGAGGGGTCAAAATGATGCCACATTTCTTAAGAATATACCCCTATAAATGAACAGAATATGACATTTTCTGAATATATAACGGCGGCCTTACAAGCAGCTGTCAGACATGCAACGATCACTGGTGTCATCACATCAAACTCGATAATGGACGGACTATCCAATGCCCGGTCAATCGAATTTCAAGTACGTTCAATAAAAAAATTTATACCGTACACTATTTAGCTGAGCTGCTGTTTTTTTTTTTTTGAATCTCAATGAACTCATAGATAATAAGACTTTTGTAACGTCTGTGTGCTGCGTGATTGCACACGTTGAGTGCGTACTGAAAGACTACGTGCCACAAGTTTTTCATCCACTTATATCATCGCCAGTTAAGCATCTCGGGCTCTCAGTTGGTTTTTTTATGCGACGGTAAATGACTCGCACAGATGCCACATATCTTTCGCAATAGAAGCTGCTGTGAACATTGACGGAGACGACGAGGTCGTTAGAGACCTTTTCTCGTGACCTCGGAGGAGCGAGAGAAGATGATTCTGCTACCCCCTCTGCTGGGTCAATTAGCCGTCTACGCAACTCAAATGCAGACGCAGTTCGGTCACTGCTTTATCCCACCGTCCGCACATACAGCGAAAAGGATAGCTCACTTCCCGATGCCTGGCCAATAGCTTACGAGAGCGTCACCTTTCTCGAACCTTCGTCTTTCATCCCCTTATGCTTTTCTGCCCCGCGGGGCAGCCAATCAGATTTCGCTCTCGTTAACGTCCTTACCTTTCCCTTATCTTGTCTGTCATAAATAGTGGCGTGGGGTCAGGCGGCGGCAGCGGAGTTAGCTGCGAAGCCACGTCGGCTCACGACGTCAAAAGCGTTACACACCTACACGAACTCGCAGAGATCAAAGTCACGAAACTACGTGCACTTGGTTTCAGAAAATTACTATATTTACATTTGAAAGAATGAGCACACTTTCTGGCAACAGGGATTCGCACAAAATGTCCGCCACGAAGAGATCATTCGTGATCGTCTGGGAAGAACGGAAATCGCAATTGTGTGTGCCTGAATAGATAAAGCGCAGAAAACATGACTAAGTGGACTATGAAGTCAGCCAGCACTGGATTACCGGGAACCGTGTTCGAAATAGAGGGAGCTACTTTTACGGAATATCACATGCTTAAGATGCCAATTCTCGCTTTTTAAAAGCGGCGCATTTTATAGCTCGCACCTACTCGCTAATCCGGCCTCGGCGGTGTCGTCGACACCCATAGCGGAGGCTCACATCTCAGACCGCATGCTCGCGTCTCATGCCAATTGCCACCCCCTTTCTCTCGCCTGGCAAGGCTGACGCAGGCAGGGTCTGCTAGTAAAAAGCGACTGCTCGCGCTGCACAACCATTCACTGGCCACCCCGTATATGTAAGCACAGGATCGTGCGTTCGGTATTCAGTCAAGGGAGTCTTGGCTTTCGCTTAACTTGAAGCTTTGATTGACTCAAGTAAATGTGATGGAAGCAACAGTATACCTTCATCCAGTAGTGGGACACAATCCAACATCAGCGTCCCACCACTCGTCGAAGGCAACGCTTCTTCGTTTAATAAGTAAGAATAATAAAGACGAAACAACAATTACGCATTCCGTAACCATACTGAATACCTAAACATTTTCGCCTCCATCCGAAATGCAGCCGCCGCTGCCGGGATTCGATCCCACGACCTGCGTGTCAGCATCCGAGTACCTTAGTCACTAGACCACCGCGGTGGGGCATAACTCGGATGGCTGTTGCTATCAGTGCTTGATTTACTGTTTTATCGGCTTACATCGCGATCCCCAGTGTGGATACATACACAAGGCGTAATGGTCCACTGAGTGTCACTCTGAACGTACTGTACGGAGTATTACATAAACGTTAAATTCAACCTAAAGCGAAAAAGGAATGGGAAGACACGTACGTAATATAATCACCCGGAAAGTTACGTTTTCCTTTCGTTTACTTGGTTAAAGCGTATACTCATCACCCAAATTTGAAGCAACCCTGATATCATGCCCCCATATTGCGGGAATTTGTGGCTGCCCGAGTTCTAACAACGTGTAATGAACGAAATCCTAAGCCGACGCTGTTAGTCTTCTGTTCAATCGTGAAGAGGGTGCTAAGCAGCATTGGCCGACAGTTGCGCTGTCCACCGATAAATCTTTCCTGCCCACGGGGGGAGCCCCTCTCGATTTTGTTGCCAAGGGGCTCGGGCGTGACAACAGGCCATCACAAATCGAGCACAGCGGAAGCGGCGCCCATAAATCACGGCCGGCGCCCGCTCTGCCGACGGTCCGCAGCAACAGGCACGCACGCCTAACAGGAGCCACGATGGCTATATAGTCAGCGGCCACTGCGTGCCGTAATAGCCGCACAACATTTCGAGGCCGGCGTTCCGGCGAGCACGAACTGGAGGTTGTTTTGAAATTGCCTGCTACACTGTTCCGGACCCAGCTAGAGGGACGCTAAGGCGCAGAACGAAATGGCCAGCTCCCGTAACACGACGCTATCCACGAGCGTTAGTAGGCTAGAGTCATTGCTCTCACCAAACGCCCCTGCGTGCAAGCAGTTCCTTAGAATACTCATTTATTAGACGAGAATCACAGTAACGAGGAGGGGGGGGGGGTTGCAGAAAGTGTTGGCTATAGTAAAATTATAGCCAAGAGAAACAAAATAAAGCGAGCAGTTCAAATGGAAAAAAAAATCTGCGAAAAGTAACAGAGCAACTTTCTCGATCGCTGAAGAACCAAGCGAACAGGCAAACAAAATGATAAGAGTAAATGACTACAAAAACAGCACCACCTAAAACACGTAAAAGCTAGAAAGCCACTTATCTAAGGTTTAGACCACACATTCCTCGCCGTCGCGCGCATGCCAAAAAGAAGAAAAGCGCTGGTAGGCAGACCGGTCCTTCTCGCCCGTCTATACTAAAGTACTGCACTAAAAGGAGGCGGCTCAGCGCTGCTAAACAGAATGTGCATGACTGTCAGTGGTGATAACTGAATATACCACTGCTGATGCTTGGGCCACGACCTCTGCTGTCCGAATTTTATTTGACGCCACTAGTATATAAGGCTGTCAGAAGACAAAAATGGCGCATTTTACTTTTTCTGCATGGGCTCAATCGTTCACCTCAATAGTGTTTTCAATGATTACCAGATAGAA